ATAAATTAATCTTGGGTTAGCTAGTACTTAAACGAAATATTATACTGTTTTTGCGATCCGTAGTTATTTTTAACTTTGTTGTATTACATTTGATGCCATCAATTATTCTAAATGTTTTCAGAGTATTTTTAACGCAATTCACTTCAATTTAAAGAATTCTCTTAATTAAACGCAATCCATCCATTTAATCTTCTTTCTATTTCTCTGATTGTGGAGCCTTTTATACCTATTATTTTCCACTTTGCTGCTTTACTTACTGCTTCTTGATCCATTTCTGTGTATTTTACCTTTTAGATCCTATCAAAATATTTAAAAAGGTTTTGATCATCATAATCATTTGCTCACGGTTAAAAAGAAATGATTTTTTTTTTCATTAATCAAAATTTTAATAGCTTTATATAAGTTTAAATAAGTGACATAAACAATGCATAGGGGAAATGTTGATTAGAACATTACTTTTAAATTTATGAACTAGTGGCCAGAATGCAAATATTTTTCGAAATTTTCTTATTGCCTAAATATTTTAGTATTATTTGATTTATTCCCTATTTTTTAAAGCACACAATATTTTATTAAAAATATATTTAGTTATGTAATTTTTCAAATACACCATTGATTAGAGAGCTGCAAAAAAATGTCCCAAAAATCTCCTCAATTAGGGTTTGAACAGACACTGAGGTTATTTGAAACATAATATGAGCAGCCGTAAAATTTGATATTGAGCAGTCGCGATGCTCTGTAATAAGACCGTAAGAACTTCTTGAGGCACCTAAAACAATAAAAAAATTATAAATAAAAGTTTGAAAGTTTTATTAACAGCATATTTAAAAAAATGCACTTTTACATAAAATAAGTATGTTTGAGTACTTCTTTAAAAACCCAAACATGCTTACATCTTTATATTTACAGCTGCAAACTGTAAGCACATTCTCATTTTAAGCTTTAAGATGGCGATAATTCGGGCAGAGGTTCAATTTTGTGACACAATTTTGAGTTACCATCGTACGCACAATAGGGTTATAACATTTTTAATTTTTTTAAACTTTAACACGGCCATAGAACTACATGATGAACAACAGTTTCAATGTGAGATATAGGGAAACCTTTTGCATCTTTGACCACTTTTTGCTTCAAGGCGTTTTTTGCGTAGTCTATTGAATAAATTTAAACCATTCAAACTTTATGATATTCTCTCATATTTTGTGCAAAAATTATACTTCACGCTTTTCTTTTTTGACCAAGAAGTATCTTTTTCCACGTTTAAAAAAAGAAGTCAAACTGGTCAAAGGTATAACACGTACGTTGTATCCTCGACCGATGCTTGTTGTTCTTTTGACCAAAATGTCATTATTAAAAAGTTATGCAATGTTTGGACCTTTTTAATATTTTAGTTTGTTCTAAATTATAAAGAAACGTCTGGCCTACCTCATGCCAATAAAAAAAAACATATCTAACTATTTTGTAAGATATTCTACTTGTCTAAAAAGAAACCGGAAAAATTTGTTCTAACAGTCTTGCAAAAACTTGTGTATTGAAGTTACGATACTCAGTCAGTATTACTTATAGTATTACTAATTTTTTTTTATTGAAATCAAATATTATAACTATTTTGATATAGTCACATACTTTATTTATTTAGATGCTACATACATGGGATAATTAGGGTTAAGGTCCAAAACTTTAAATGCGATTTAATTGTACAAAATATGTTTTCTAAAATATATAGTTATTTTTATTATTTTAGATTTTTATAACTTATACTTGGTGGTGGTCTAAATATTTTATTATTTTATATTTTTATAACTTATACTCGGTGGTGGTCTATATTTATTTAAATATGATCATAATGCTTTTTAGAGGAAATATTTTAATGATGACAACAAAAATACATTAATAAAAAGTAAAATACATTAATTATTACGAGAGGTCAGATCAACATCAAACATACGATGACGTTTAGATGAACCATACTTGGCGGTGGATCTTTCATAAAAATATCTTCAACTTCCACATTATAAATACTATCATCTTCTTGTATAAATTTATTAGAAAAGCCTCCTGAAACTTAATTTTGTAAAATATACCAACAACTTTTATAACTTCTGCTAGATAAAGAGAATTTCTTTCTGGCAAATTTAACAATTAAAATATTTCCAGAAACAGTTTTACTTATATCAAGTTTATTTACTTTCTATATCAAGTATATCAATTATATTTACTCAAAAATTTTTTCAGAACTTTAAATTTCATTTAAACACTTGTCAGACTAAAAATTTTTTTTTTTTTTGCAAAAAATTATTTTGGCATTTTTTTTCTTTTCTTGGAGAGGACTTTTTACATTGTTGGTTAATAGATTTTGTATCCAGAATAACTTTAATTTCAGGTGTACAGTTTAAATACACGATTTTCTTTTACGCCTTTTTGTAATAGTTATTTTTCTTAACTTAACTTGTATATTATTATATACTATTTGTATTTTGTCATTTGGAGCTAGAAGTTTTGGTGGTACGTGGACTGTGGTAATTCCTGTTTTATTACAGTTCTAAATTTTTGATGGTTCAAAATGATAACATTTTAAAATCCTTACGGTTTCTCTATTGAATGCAAGAGACTACCAAGACTTGTGATGCAGATAGAGATCTACCAAGACTTGTTGGCTGTGGTGCAGATAGAGATAACCTATTATTATACCTTTTGAGAAAATACTTGCAGACATTATTTGCTAAAGCATACTCATATGCAAATAATATGAGCTGCTTTAATGTAAGTTTGTAATTCATAATTGCAGCATCTGCCAAGTTGTTTAACCAAACTTTATTTCTTCTTCTGTTAAGAAATATTTTTGGTTTGTATGGGAATATGAATATTCGTATCTTTTAGATTTTTTAAACGTTTTTAAACTGCTTCATTTGATGTTTCAAATGATTTCAGTTGATTTTTCAATGTTGCAATGTGGTACAGCTTCACCTAAACTCATTTTTTATTCAAGCACAAAATTCACTGCATTAAGCATATCTGTTTTACAAATCTTCTTGCGTAAAAATACTAACTTTGATCCTGGGCATTTTAAAACTAAAATGTCTTAACAGAATTGATTATATATTATATGCTTTTAATTCCCTATAGATGTGCATAAATTAAGTAATAAAATGAACTTAATTATGATATTGATACAACTATTTAAACAAAAACTAACAAAATTAATTTTTCCAAGTGCAGTAGTGATTCAAGAATAAATAGTAAATTGCATTACAATTCAATGTAGTTATTTTATTTCTATAACACGATCAAAAGTACACGAGATGGGTTTCTTTAACAATTATCGCCTTAATCCCCATTTACGATAAGAAATAATCATCCAAACTTTTCCATACATACAATCATCCCAAGTATGATCTTTTGCGGTAAAAAGAGTTGTTATGGACCATTATTTCAAATGGAACTCAAATTTTTAAAAAAATAGTAATAGTAGACCGACAGAGTAAAGTGACCAAAGGTACAACGTGGTCAAAGGTACAACAGGTTCCCCTATAATACGTTTTTGTTTTTTACTTACAAAAACCTCACCCAGAATACAGATTGAAATATTTCGTTAGAAGTGCGGCTCGATGTAAAGGACTAAATTTTAGTTCTTTGGAAACTATTCTCTGTGTATATATGCTCTTTTGTGTAATATCTGTTTTCGCTTTCAGTTATTACATGTCTGAGATTGTTTTTAGTGTGTTTTCTTTGCATGTCTGGGATTGTTTCAAGTGAATTTTTCTGGAAAATGTCAAATATGACAAGCCAAAAATTTTATTACATGTAAATTGTATAAGTAAACTATCGCAATCGATTCCAGTAAACTTAAAAGTCGCTGTTAATACTTTACGTTCATTTTGTACTTGGATTCAAGAATTCCGTGAGTGGATTGGAGAAAGGCGTTGCAGATGCTCGATTATTTGTGGAAAAATGCGCTTACGAAATTGAGTCACAATTTAAAGAAAAAAGAATAGCACGAAAAAAACGAATATTCGCTTATGAACACATACAATCTGCTGAATTCGGTTATGAACCTATACAATCTGCTGAAACACAGTACAAAGTAAATTTTTTCAACACAATGATAGACGCAGTCATCGTCGACACTGAATGTCAATTTAAAGCTCTTAATGAATATTTTGGCTGTTTTGGTTTTATTTACGATATCAATTATTTGAAACTTTTGCCAAGAGAGGACTTGCTCAAGCATAGTAATAATTTAGGTACAATACTTTGGGAAGGTGAAAACAGCAACATAGATTCCTTTGAACTTTATGAAGAACTGCAAATTTTAAAATCAACTTTACTAGAGAACATAAATGATGCAAAACAACTTATACAGTAAATTTTAAACAACTTTGAAGAAATATATCAAAATCTTTACATAACAATCAGAATCTCACAATTCCAGTAAGTACAACTTCTACTGAGAGAAGCTTCTCAAAGTTAAAACTGATTAAGACTTACTTAAGAAGCACGATGAGCCAAGAAAGACTATCTGTTTTATTCATTTTGTCCATTGAAGTTAAAATAGCAGCGGGTGTTAGTTATGACACAATTTTAAAAAGATTCAGCGAGGCTAAAAGCCGAAAAAGTTCGTCTTTTTTAATTTGTGTTTATTCGTGTAATTATTGTTATTAATTCATATCATAATTAACAATAAAAGTTATATGCTCCTAAATTTTTCAACCTATATTTTTCAACTTATAATGAAACCTAATATTTAAATATTAAGAACAAATAAGTTTAAATACCTATATCAAAATTAAGTGTAAAATAAATATGTTTAAAATAATTAACAATAATAATTGTGTTTATATCTTTAAATAAAAATAGTGCTCAATAAAAATTCAAGCCCGGAGATTCGGCCAAATCCCAACTTACAGGACCATGGTCATATGAGGTTGCAAAAATGTCATAACCCTAACGCACAATTTGATACGAGAAATTTTGATACAAATTACGGGCTAAATGTAATAATTTGTTGATGTTATTTTTCCCCATTTGTTTTTGTATATAACTAGATTTTAATACTTACGCAAATAGATTTTTGGTCAAAAAATTCTACCTTATTTAGTTATTTTTGATCTGGCTTATTTTTGATTTGTTGGGGGAAAAAATTAAGTAACCTTCGGGTTTGTGTTCTATGACAATATGAGATCAGGATTATTCGGAGAAATTACTACCTCACTTGGTATTTTTAAAAACTTTTAACAATTGTTATGTAAAATATAAAGAATTTTTTGTATGTTGTCTTTTTTGAGTTTTTTTTTTTTTATTGATTTTTGATCTTGTTCCCAAGTATATTTAATTTTGTATATAATAAAAAAGGCAACAAAGAAAAACAAACTTCAACAACATGATTCTTGTTGTTAAAGTTTTGACTTGCTTTATTAATATACTACTCTTCTTCTCAAGAAGTGTGTAATATGTACATGGATGGAAATGGGTAAAAAAAGAAAAACAAATTAATTATAAAATTATATACTTTTTAATAAAATTTATACTATGTTTTTTCTTGTACAAGGTCTTTGTAGTTTGTTATTATAATTATTTTATAAACATCTTCACTTCCAACAAGGCTGCAAGCAATCACTATTAGAGTTGGAAATTACTGAAAAAGAAGTTTATAAAGCAAGATAACAATAAACAGATGACTTAAAAATATCAAATAAGTTAAGATATTTGATAAATATATATTAGCTCTAAAATAAAATTTTTTAGTATTATTTACAATGTTCATACTGCTTTTCAGGCTGCTAGTGCTAAACACAAAATGTGGAAGTTTTTCAAAAAGCCCTGAAATTTTAACAATTGATTAAAAAGCTAGCAATTCTAGCTAGAATCTTTTTACCATACGAGGAAAGTTAAAAATATTAAACATAACTTGGATCTACGAAAAAAACTAACTTGACATATATGTAAATTTACCATTTATTATCTCTTTGGAATAGCTTAAATTGTTTAAGTTTGTATCTTTTTGGATACTAGCCAAATAAAGTATTGAAAATGTAATGTTTTTAATTCATTATAAAGTTTTTAATTCATTATATTACTACAAAATTATTCTCAGAACTAAATGCAATCAAGTTTCACTTTTCTGCACTTTCTCTTTCTCATTTATTATATTTCCTTTTTTTTGGCTAAATAATTTTTGGTTTCATTGGGAGTACAATAACAGAAGATGTGTGATAAATAATTTTTACAAAAGTTTAAAATATTAAGTTTATTTTTAAGTTGATCAATTGTTGTTTATTCTATAATATATGACGGTAAATCATTCCAAGTCTCTTCTACTTAATTCTACTTAAGAAAAAATTATATCTAGTGTTACTGTTACAGTATGCCTTTGTTAACTTTTGATTATGACCATGAAAATGGTAATGTTTTAATTGAGTTTTAGATATTGAGTTTATCCAAATTATCCTCATAAACTTGATTTTATACTACAAAATTAGATCTCATAAACTTTTTTTAGGGTTGTTAAGTATATTAAATGCATTTTCTTCAAAGCTAATAACTAATTTACTAATTTTGTAGCTCTCGTTTGTAATAAGGACACCAGGCTTGGATTGCAAACTCAAAATCAAGGTCTTACAAAAGTTGTATACAATTTTCTTACTTCCATTAAAGTGTCACATTTAATTTGATTTGCTTAGAGCTTTATCAATTTGACATGACCATTTTAAAGTTTGGTTACATCAATACTTTTAAATCATGTGTTACTTTTGATGTTGCTAAGATATTATTATGTTATTTGCAGAATATTTACTTTATATAATTTTCATTTTATTTTTTCAACTTTCATTTGCATTATTATTATTATTTTTTTTTTGTAAATCACTTTTTTTCCTTTTTTCCAAGACTTACAGATTTTAAGAACTTTTTTTAAATAAATTGTTTTTGACTGTTTTTCTTTTATTATGCCTCATTTTATACTTGTTTAATGTAAATAGGTTCTACATTGGTGCAGGTGAGAAAAACAGGTCAGAAAGTCACTAGTTGTAAATTTTTTTTTTCATATTTACATATTTAAATAAAAATCAGTCATTTTGGAAACCTCTCCAAACTACTCAAGTGTAGAACCTTGATTAATAAATTAAAAAAAAAACTGTTCTTAGTTTTTTTTTGCTATAGTCTATATAAGTAATGTTATCATTATTGTTGTCATATTGTAAAAAATAATTGTAATAATAATAAATTAATATATCGTAAAAAATACTTCATAGTTTAGTAGTCTTTAGTAAAGTCTCTTTACTGCTTTAAACTTAATATTTAAAACGCCAAAAAAATCAAGTTTATAAGCGGATAACAAATATATTTTTAAATGTACTTTTTAATTTGACTGAGTTTATACAACTAGATTTACATGCTTAACTGGTTTATGTTTTATAAGTTTTATTTTTGTAGAATGATACATTGTAGTAAAAAAGATAAAAGTAAAATGTAGTTAAGATAGATAAAGTAAACATTGTTTTACTAATTATTAAAAAGTAAAGCATGTTTTACTAATTTTATAAATATTATTAACAAGTAAGTTGTGTGCAAAATTTAAATAGTTTGTACTTTAATAAAGTGTTATTAATTTATTGCAAATAACTTATGTCTCGTAATAATAATATAAACAAAATATTTAGTTTTAGAAAATAAGAAAAGCTGATAAATAAAAAAAGGCTTCTTATGCAATCCAAAAATGAAGAGTATTACTGAGGATGCCCATTTTGATTTAATTGTGATTTAATTACAACAGATCTAAGCACATACAGACAATTGATTCAATTTTATTACTTCCTAGATTGTTTTGACATTAAACCAAGCTTTTCGGCAATTTGTTAAGCCTGTTTCACTTGTTTTTAAATCTATATGGTTATCTGTCAATCCACGGTTGCCTTTAATAAACAAGTCTATTGAAACAAAAGTTAAAAATCTATTTGCAACTGTAAAAAACATAATTTGTAAACATGCAAAAGCAAGTATCAAACGAAACCTGGATTCTAAACTAAATAAACTTTTTGGCATTGTTTGCATATGCCCTAAAAAAGCAACCCAATAAAAGAAAAAGCTTATATTGTTTCAGATGTCTATGGTAAATTCATCTGCTTTAAAGCTCAACAAAAAGAATCAACAGGAGAAAGGAAATATATCACATCACAAACATATTCATAATGAGCTCTTAAGTTCATTATCAGATCCCCCAAAATGTGTATCTAAAATAATAAAACCTCAGGCATTTTTATTTGCATGGCCTTAAATTTTTAAATTGTTTAGTATATATTTAGCACTTATTGATAATAAAATCACTTATCATAAATATTAGTTTCTTCTTGTGCTTATGGTGCCAATAACTTTTTTTACTTGATGAAGCAGTGTCATGAGCTTGGAGCAGAAGATTGGAAAGTATTGGAGCTTGTATTCAGAGCAACATCCGAAAAAATTATTCATTCTGGTGTTCGTAACAATGGTATTTGAGGAGTACTTTGTTTAGTTCTACTGCAGTAAGCTCAACCGTTTTTGGACATGAAACATGATGTGTTTCATGTCTAAAAACGGTTAGGATGATTTTACAGGGTACAGCATGCAGAACAGACTTATCTCGTGTAAATCAAACTTTTTGTAAATTATCTTTCATTACATTGTTTCATTGATCTAATAATATCTAGAACTTTAACTTTTATGTTCATTTTAGGCTTCAGATATGGCCAGGACTGGCAATAAGAGAGTGAATGTATATATATATATATATATATATATATATATATATATATATATATATATATATATATATATATATATATATATATATATATATATATATATATATATATATGAATTCAGAAAAAAACAAGAATAAATATTGTAATTATTGACTTTTTTTTTATTGTTGTTTTATTTGTAAAATACAATTGCATGCAATATATTACATTTGTAAGATTGTAAGCAATATGAAATATTAAAAATTAGCTTTCAGTATTTATTGTCTGTTATTTTTGTAGGAGATAAAGAATGGCCACAGGATGTAGGTTTGTACAGATCATTAGAAGGTAACTGTTTTGTAATATAAATTGTTTATGATATATTTAACCAATAATCTTAAAATTAAATACAGTTATACATTTAGATTTTTTATTTGGTCTGCATTGCAGTGCAAAAATTACAGATAGCAGACCAAAATCAAAAAATGCTAAAAAATTAATTCACAAAATGTTTTGAAAGCTTTTTTATTAATTGGCAGGGGTCAGTTTAGTGGTCAGACATCGACATCCCCTAGATTTTTTTTTGAAAACTACCTGAGAAAGGCAACCAAAATCTGTTCATTTTTTTAAAAATGAACTATGATTGGTTGCCCCTAGTTGATCTTAAACGGCTTAGAGAGGAGGGGTGCCAATTTCTGACCACTAAGTTGAGCCCTGAAGTAGATGAATATATATAATAATTAAAGTTTATTAGTTGTTAACCTTATTAATGTTTTAAAAATAATAAATGAGGTTTTTAAATAAAAGTAATAAATGAAGTTTTTAAATAACAAATCAATAAACTGGACAATGACATCATTTTTAAATAACTAATCAATAAACTGTACAATGACTTCATTTTTAAATAACTAATCAATAAACTGGACAATGACATCATTTTTAAATAACTAATCAATGAACTGGACAATGACATCATTTTTAAATAACTAATCAATAAACTGGACAATGACATCATTTTTAAACAACTAATCAAAATCTTTAAAAAAAAACTTTTTTTTAAGCAAAATTGCTTCTCTAAAACGCTTTTGCTCTAAATATGAATTCTTCATATAAGAAAATTTTAAGCAAACCTTGTTGGTATTGTTTGAAAATTTTGCTAAATGAAGAAATGCTGTCAAATCATTCAATCACTTCAAATGACTTGAAACTTTTTTTATCATTCCTAAAGCAAGATAAAAGTTTCAAATCATTTGGTCTGATTGAATGATAATAAGGTAAGGCGGGACAAGTTTGTCATGTTTTACTGTAACAAAATGAGTTTGCATATAAATAAGTAAACTTTTCTAGTTTAAAAGTGTTTTTTTATTAATTAGGGTCTCTACTCTGTTAATGTATTGAATCTAATTCTAAAGTTACTTTTGTGTAGAACTTGAATTTTTCATCATCAAGTCATAAGGGGCAAAATAGTCAATTACGGGGCGAATTCGTCATTACAACTAAACTTTTTTTTAAATATGCCTTTTGGGCGATATACGAAATTCCTTACTAGTGGTAAAGACAGCTTACCCAGGAGAAAAATAACTTATATAGTATAAAGCATTATTTTAAGGTAATAGTAGTATGATTTTCTTAATCTAGAATAGTAAACCTCTAAGTGATGTAGATAGAACTACAGATAGCTACAGATAGACTTACTGAAGTAGCCTTCAGATAACAACAAGATAGAGTTGCTTAAAGTCAGTTTTCTGATTTCTAAAACATCTAAAAGGATGTCAATTGTTAAACTTTTTCATCACAACTATAAATTAAATTTTTTATACTTATTATTTACTATATATACATAATTAGACAAGATAAGTTAATTTTAATTATACTTTATAATAAGCTTGTTTACATGTTTCACATCAGAGTCCCATCTATAATTAAAACTTCAAAAAATTTTAAAAGCTGACTGTGATTTAATATATTCTCAAAAATCTCTTAGAGATAATATCTAAAGCTTTAAAGTGGTTTTCTTTAAAACGGCACTCTGTAGTTTAAAAATTTGTTGGTCAAAGAACCTAATTTATCTTAAGTATTATACTTTTATTACAACGAAGTTTCCCCTAATTTGAGCATGTGCTAACAATCATAACATGATGATTCCATAAGAAAAAGCATAGCAACTTAAATTGTTATTCAAAAATACTGACATCAATCTATCGAAAAAATATATTTTGCGGTCAAAACATCATGTATTTTGATTATTTTTCAATGATAAGCATTTAAGCAGAAAAAATATTTTTTCAACTTCGATGTTTACTCACAATATTTAAAGAATAATCGAAGGAAAATATATAAAACTTTTATATAATAATATTACACAAATATCGATTGAAAAAGTTTCGAAAAAAACCTAGTAAATAGATTTTTATGGATTATTATATTAAAGCTGAGTCGCAAAAGTGACGAATTTGCTCTGTGAAAAATTCACCCTGCCTTACCCTAATTTGACAACATTTTGTTAAGTCATTTAACAAAAGGTTTAAACAACGTCAAAAAGACTTGCTTAAAAAATCTGAACAAGTTTAAGCTATTGTGGACTTAACAGAAAATGTATTTACAGTCTCTTACAAAAGTTTAGAATTAGTTAAGTATTTGTAGGTAAATCTAAAGTTTTTATTGAAAATTACATACACAAATGACATACACAAAGCTATGATTGAATTTATTTTCTATATGTACACATACCAGTGAAGAACCTAGAGTTTATATGGGGATACCGTTTTTTTTTCAGCAATGTTAAGGGGGGAGATTATGTTTTTGAGTTCCCCTGCGCCCTCATTCTCCCCTAGTTAAACGGGTGCCGCAGCAGTGGCGGATTAAGACTTCTTGGGGCCCGGAGCTATTTTTGTTTTTGGAGGCCTGTTTATGGGCCAGAACCTAAAAATGACTAAACAAAAAAAAAAAAAAAGACCTTAAAAATTTTTGGGGGCCCCTAAATTTGCGGGGCCTGGGGCTATAGCCCCGACCCCCTTGATCCGGCACTGTGCTGCAGCAATAATTTTTAATCATCATTTTCTTAATAATCATTTATTTTTATCATGTTCAGTTTTATCCTATAATAAGGTGTTGATTTTAAGGCATTTTATGAATACATGAATTTACTGGTGGACTACATTAGCTAAAAGAAAACTATTTTACTTAAGATTTTAATAAACGCTTTTGTTGCATATACCATGCTATCAATAAATAATTATTGAAAACTGTTTAAAGTATTTTAAACAGTTATTAACTATATTTTAGTAATAATTAAAAATATTTTAAACAATTTTCAACCAATATTTACATTACATAATATATTTACATATATTATATCGCGTAATATTTGTAAAATTAACAAAATAGTTTTACGTCTTGTATTTGAAAACATAAGCATTTAGTGAACAAATTCGATAAGCATTTAATAAATGTATTTAATAAGCTATTCAAATAAAAACATAAGTATTTAATAAACTTATTTTCTATTATTTTAAATTTAAATTTTTGATTTAAATGTTAGTAAATCTGTTCATTTAACTTTTACTAAAAAGTTATAATTTTTAAAGTGATTTTAAGGCGGCTTTTAAATTAAAGATAATTAAAGAGATTACAGTAAACATAATTTAAAAAATATTCTATTATTTTGATAAAAAACCATATTATATTTTCAAAAACATATTTTAAAAAATATTTTTATTTATTTATTAAGAATAATTTAAAAAATTACATTTGAATAAATAAATTACATTTACAGTTATTTTAAACAGATCTAAATAAAACTTTTATTAAGTTATTGAAACCTTTTTTTTATTATATTAAAAAGAATATTGAAAGGAAAAAAAATTGTCTGAAAAAGTTTATACTTTGTTTTTTCGTTTTCCTCATATAAACTAAAATGGCAAGCTAAAGATCAAAAATTCATTCATTTAAAAATTAAACTTGCGTGATATTTACAAGGACTGATGATTTTTACTTTTGTTCATTTATTATCAAATACAGTTTACTCTTAATTGCCAAAAAACAAAAATTAACTTTACGCTGAATGGATATTTAAAAACGTTTTAACTTTCAAAAAAGCAAACCTTTTTTTTTAAAAGTTGTGTCCAGTTAATAACCGAAAGCAAATTATGCCACGTAGTTATGTAAAAAAGCAATTTCTTTTTAATTTTTTTTATTTTCCTGAAGAAAAAATGAGGTAGCTAAATTAAACTGAGAATTATTTATATACTACTGCATTTAAAACTAAATATTTTTTTCTATTTTTCATAAAAAGTCAAAAGAAAAATTAAAAATACTTTTTGGGCGCCCATACCGGTAAAACGGTACTAAAACACGTCTAGGTTCTTCACTGCATATATACATGTGTATATAACATAAATTAAATCTTTGTGTATGTCATTTGTGTCATTTTCAATAAATTACGGATTTACCTAGAAAATACTTAACTGATTCTAAACTTTTGCAAGAGACTATAAATGACAATTTGCAAGATTTTGAGTCTGTGTTGAGAAAAATATTCTTGACGTTTTGCAATTTGTTCTTGTAGCAAAGAGTTTCAGAAATAAAATCACTCTGTTAGAAAAATAAGCTTAATAGTTGATGATGTTGTCAATAAGCATCATGATGCTTATCAACTTCATAGCTAGATTGAATAAAAACAGCCACACCCTAAACAGGAATTTGCTGAAGACAGAAATAACATCTATATGATTTTATACACTCTAATGACATATGGAATATTTTGTTTTTAGCATAGATGACATGGAACTGATAAGCAAACACTGTAAAATAAACAATTATTTTTTATAACAGCTTTATTTATAGATTTAAAAATTCTAAAATTCTAAAAAGGCTATAGCACTCTATTATAAGCTAAGATTAACCAGAGATTTGGTGCCTTTTAATACCTATAGGGTGATTTTGGGTAGCAGAAAAAAGTCCATAGCATGCATCTTAAAAGCTCAATTTTTTTTATTACATGTATACAAAATGGTATAACACTCTCTTCTAAAAATTCAGCATTTTCTCTAATTTCAATCAACTTTTTTGACTGCTTGAAAGTACTACATCCAAACATGTATAAAATGATTTTCAAGATAATATGAAACTTCAAAGTACAGTACTTTTTAAACCGCTATGAATTATTATATTAAGGTTTTTTTTGTTTGTTTTTTAAAACGATTTAAAGCTACCTCCAGGAATTTCAAAGATGTCCATAAGCCCTACTTTTCAAAGTCATTCTTTTTGCAACAAGTATCAATAATAAATGTAAAAAATTGTTTTATTTTGTCTTCATTTATCAATTCAAGTTAAATTTAATTAATACTTAATATTTGGCTGATATTATGTTTGATGATGATTTGATGTTTAATTTTTATTTATGAATTTGAAATAAAAGTACATAATATGAAACTTTATAATTGTATGGATTAGTTGACAAGTTTTTAGTTGTTTTAATATTTTTTTTTAATTCTATAATTTTTTCAAAAAAAGTCCAATTGTGCAAAAAAATTATTTACAACTGCATACAAAAAATCTCTACCACTGCATACAAAAAAAACTTTTTACCACTGTACACACAAAAAAAAGATTACTCATCGATGCTGTTTTACCTAGTTTCTGTAGAATTTTTGATAGCTAAGGCAGACTTCATTAAAAGAGTAATTAACTTTAACAGTTCTTAAACATAGACAAAGTGTTTTGGTAAAACTAAAAAGTGTTTTGGTAAAACTAAAAAGTGTTAATAAAACTTTAATAAAACTAAAAAATATTTGCAAAAAAGATGATTATTTAACCCTTTCACTACCAGAAAAAAATCAGTAAAATTTTTATACCAATGCATCTCAAAACTAAAAGATGCAATCACAGATTTTCTGCAATTGTTTCTAATTACTTTATTTGTTTTCAGATAAAAATTTTTTTTTTTATGGTGGTCAAAGATTTGAAAATACAAAACTTCATCTGATTGCACAGGTTGTCATGCTAAGTTGCTTATTGGTGAAATTAGTCAAATTATTGTCAATACTTTACAGCATTCAATTTAGCTCTTGACAAGTCTACAAACAGGATGTTCCACAATTGGCTATTTTTGTTTGCTAAGTATCTGCAGACGTAAATGTAAAGGAAGAAATGTTAGACCTAGTAGCTCTTATCAAAACATATATAAGTTACAGGAGCTTATCAATTCTGAATCCAGAGTCTTTATGTAAAATAGCAGTCAGGGGCTTTATGACTTTTTAATCCATTGTATTTTTATAGATTTAATTGATTAGTCATTTTGGAGCTTTTGTTAATTGTTATTTAGCTTAATCAAGTTAATTAAGAGTCATTTCTAAATTTCTAATTGAAACATTTGTCAAATTATGAACTAATATTTTTTGAATTATTATTTTTTGAATTATTTATGAGTTATTATTTTTTTTCTATTTTTGTTCTCGGGCCTCCTGAAGATCAATTTTTGTTCTCGAGCCTCTTGGAGATTTTCTGCTCTCCTCTCTGGAGAGCAGATTTTTCAATTTGATAACTTTCATAAATGTTATGAAAAATCACTCAGAACAAGTACCACCAGTTTTTTAAAATTGCTTTTGTTAATTACTTTTGATGAATGAGTTCAATACTTTTGCAATTCATTTGTTACATAGTTCTAAAATTTAAAACTTTTAATAATAGATATAAAAAATCCACGATAATAATTGCTTGGTTACATAAATGATGTAACATGAGTTAAATATATAATATCAAAAATAAAGTTTATTTTCCTTAGCCAGTCATCACTGATGATGTCACCACTGATGATGTATGTCACCACTGATGATGTCACCACTGATGAGTATTTAAAGATTTTTAAAATTAATATAGAATTCTCAACATCTTTTGAAAATTTCCAATCTATGAAAATACAAATCAAATTGGGATTAAAATGTTATTTTTTATATAGCTTTAATAATGGCCAATATTATCAGATTTTTTTCCAATCAAGTAATGTTGTTAGTTGTGAATGGTTATTAGTTAGGTTGTTTTTTTTCAACTGATAAACTCTGCCATTACTTGAGGGGATTTCTAAAAAATCGCGAATGGAAACTTGTATATGTTTTGTTTATTATTTTCATAATAATAAAACTGGCGATCTTTAATTTGCTCTCATTTAATTCTAACCTTTATAAATATTTTGTAAACAAAAAATGGTATACATTAGTAATGTTAACAAAGAATAAATTAAGTTTGAAATGGAATCGCGCACAGAACAGAAAAACTCAAACTTTAGTTACTAGATAAACTTTAATTCCTCAAAAAATATAAGTTTCAATGTTATATATATATTTTTTAAATGATGTTTTAAACATTAGTAAAGCTTTCCAGAAAATTACAGGATTGTACTATGTATGATAGAGTCACAGCAATTATTTAAATGTAGTTTATAAATGATCACAAACAGAAGTCATGTATGGAAGTTGTGAATTTGTTTTTTTTGTTAATTTCATGTAGATATTTTAAAGAAAATAAATTGCTTGTGAGTATTTTAAGTGAAATATTATACTTCTTCAACCCATATTTAATATATTTTCAATGAGAAATGGCAGTTATCAATTATTTCTAGCCAAAGTATAGCAATTTGAAAGTTGTTGTTTATTTTCAAACTGTAGCAATATTATTATGTAAAAAAAATAAAAAGATCAAAATATTTATATTCAATTTATTCAGGTAGCCTAAAGTATGATAAAAATATTTGTATTATAAACGTTTTTTAAGAAAATTATAACAGTATGCATGTTGCTCCAAGTCCCAGCCTTTATTTGCTAGAACAAAGAAAAATAAAAAATCACGCACAGAAATGGAAATCCCCTTAAGTTGATTTTTTTTATTTGAAGTTTTTTAATAATTTTTATTGAAAATTAAAAATTGCAATTGAAAAAAGCAATTTTTAGATTGTTGTTTATGTAACATGGGTAATATAATTCATATATAAGTTATGAATATTTAAAATTATTCATTTAAAATTTTAACAATTGTATTTTTTTTTTTATATACAAAAGAACAAGAAATTTTGGTTGATAAAGCAAAATGTTATGTTGTTAAGGTAAGAAATTTTGGTTGATAAAGCAAAATGTTATGTTGTTAAGGTATAGTCTTCAATAAGTTTCAACAATTTCTTTTGATGAATAAAAATTGTTTAACACATTTGCTTTATTAAGTGTTATAACACTTTAGCGTTATATTATTTGTTATTCATTTAATTTATTTTTCATATTTATGGATATTTTTTTTCAACCTTTTTTAAGCTATCGCAATTTACCTAATTTAAACTAGAAATTAGGCAAAATTACCTAAAAAATTTAGTTTCAAAGAATATTTTAATTGAGAAACAACTGTATACAATCTAAAAAAAGGTTTTGTTTAATATTATGTTATGTACAAATGTTATGGGATCCTTATTTTGTTTCAGTTTTTTTTAAATATAAAATCATTTTGAGACATTAGATACAATCTTTATTTTGTAAACTAATTTAATAGTGTTACATCAAGGAATTTCAACACCAAAAGTCACAAGGACTTTTCAAGATATAATTGAAAACACAAAAGTTGTAAATAAGGAACATAAAATAGTATTTAATCAAATAAAGATAAGATGGAATAGAGAACATAAATAAATAAAGATAAGATGGAATAGAGAACACAAATAAATAAAGATAAGATGGAATAGAGAACATAAATAAATAAAGATAAGATGGAATAGAGAACATAAATAAATAAATAAAGATGGAATAGAGAAGTAGTTGTAATTAAGAAAGTTTTATTTTATACATAAAAGAAACAAAGTTCTTTGTGTTTCTGATTTTGTAACCTTAATTTATTTTGTAACTTTATCTTTAGCTTAATTGCCTCTGAATAAGCTGGCCAAATGAGTTAGTTTTCAATAAATAATCAAATGTTATCAATAAAATAAAAAATTAACAAAAAAAAAAACATTTTACAATGTGGCAGTAACCAGTAAAATCCAGTTGAATGTTTACAGTTATTCAGATAATAAATGTAAATAATTCAGTTACAAAAAGTTATGAAGTTTAAATTAAATTTAAACAATGTCATTAAAAATCACTGTTATGTTTAGTTAAACACCAACTTGAATGTCTTCCATACACCAACTTGAATGTCTTCCATACATATAATGCATGTCCGTATGTTATACAGCATATGCACAATCACCCCCCATTATTGTATTTTTTACTGCAGTGACAATTCTTTCTAAATATTGCATTGCTGTTCCAGCACCTAAAACAGGTCGAATTTAATTTTTAATGTTCTTTTTAATTTTGAACCATATTGTTTCCATCGTGTTTAACATTGAGATGAAGAGTCCCAATTGTAACAACTGAGCTGGTGAATTTTCAAACACTCTTTTCAAACGAGGGTGACAAGGAGCATTGTCTTTTATCACAACCGAATTCTCTAAGTGGTTCCCAGATATAACCCACTAGTGAAACATAAACAACATCCACTCATTACATATAAACATAAGCTCATTATAAGAATCTGCTTTAAATAATCTTCTACGAATTTCTATCGAATTTCATTTGTTGTTGATATAGCTGCAATTAAATGTGTTTGACAAGTATTTTCATCGTTGCTCTTCTTCCTTGTCCGGTGCGTCCTTGCATTTTTCTACAAAAAAGATTAAAATATGTTTCATCCAACCAGACTATCTGATAATCATTTGTGATATGTTTATTGATGTTTCTAACATAATCAGTTCTTTTCATTACCATTCATTGTAGAAGAGTTGTATACTGTTTTAAATTTGCCTTCAAGGTTATTAAAAAAATCTGCCTTTAAGGTAATCGTTATTGTGCTGAAGCTATATTTAATTTTCTTAATATTTTTGTTTTTATGGTCACCAATATTAATTGACAATCACTTTCAATCCAGGTTAACATTTTATGATTTGATCTTCGGTCAATATTTTTTTGGCTTAACGCCACCTTTTCCAATGAAATTTAAATTTCCGCTGTTGCAGTTTGAAATTTAATGTTCCGCAGAATTCTGTCCCAATAAATTTAATGTTCCGCAGTTGTACCCAATTGCAGATCTTGTTAAGAAACATTGCGCTATTTGCATTTTACAAACGAAAAGAAAATTTCATGTACACATTAAGCAATTTACGTTACGCAAAAACTTTTTTCAATTAGTTTATTTAAACAGTCTTTTAAAAAAGTTTGGAAAACATTAAACTGTAATTAATTGTTGTAAAAAATATTTGTGGGATCTTTTTTTATTAGATAAAAAAACAGATAGATAAACTTTTTTCCATTTTTTCTTTTGTTTTAATTTTAATTTTTAATTTATTTTATTAAATTTGAATTAAATTTATTATTAAATATTAAAAATTATAAATTTGTTTTATTAAATTCAATTCAAGTTCCTTTAAAAATTTTAAAATGATCTGTTTTACAATTTTTTTACTGCTAAAATTTCCTAACTATGTTAAAGTAAAAAAAAAAATTTAATAAATTTAATTCAAGTTACTTCAAAATGTTTGTATTACATATAACCTTTTTTTTTTACATTTGAGTTTTGAAATTGCTCTTTAGCAAATGTTTTTTCTTTATCATTAATTTTTTGAATTGATCATCAATTGAAAATGATTAACTAGTTTATGAGTAGTTTGTGAAGATTTTGTTAAAGCCAAAATATTTAAAAGAAAGGTTGATAGTTTTTATTTAATTTTTGACCGTTAAAGTGATTCCCAAGTGCCAAGACAAGTTGTGTTCATATCATAAAAAATCCTTGAAAAATAAGTTTCACGTTAATCAAACTTTCCAGAACAAATTATTTATAGAGGTATTAGCGAAAAAAAAATTTAGTTTTTAATGCCATTTTTTTCTTCTCAAAGGTGTCTTTAATTTTTCTTTTTTTTAATACTAGTCTCATTAATGTGTTTTTATAGTTAATAAATGACGTCAATAGAAAAAGGTTCTTAAATAACTTAAACTTGAGTTATAAATGTAATGTTGGGTTAATTGCAGGTAATTTTTATGTAGAAGAATGACTTTATATATTTTAATAATAAATAACACAATCAATAAGTAAATGCTTAAAAGCCCAACTTATATTTATGTTATTTAAAAAACTAATACTAGTGCTATAAATAGAAGTAAATTTTACTTATATTTATTAAAAACAAGTTCTGCTAATAACATTTTAAAACGGAAAATACTATTATTTTTTTTGAATTTAGTAAGAAATAGTATCACGGTAGATAGAAACAAAATATTTAAATGGAAATAAAAAAAAAACAAAGCAGAAAAGCAGTAAACTTTGCTAAAGTAGAATTTTTGTTTTATCAAAAGTCTCCAATCGAACTAAAATGTTTTAAATAGTAGTAGCGAACATTTTTTTATGAAAGAGGAAGACCCAATCTAATTGTGTAGTTGTGTAAATCATTTAAAAAACTCTGCAGTAAGTACATTTAAATTCCTTTATGAAATTCAGCCATAAACAAGTGTCCCCTCATTTAAAAAAAAATGACTATAAGGCGAATGTTTTAAAGAAAAAAAAATAAGTTTAAATAAGTATAAGATTTTAAATTTAGGAATTTTTTTTTTTTCAAACATTTAAATTTTATTTATAATTTTTTTTATCACATTGTTTAATTTAAAGATATTTTATAAAGATAAAACTTACAACAATCTTTAATGTGGTTTCAAATTAAATTTAATAACAATGCAGTACTTTAAAATATGCAACTGACATAATTAAACATTTAATGATGTAAATATCTTTATTGAGTAAAGTTACATTTACTTGCATTAGGTTTTTCCGTTATGCAACAAAATTTTATAACAAGTTCTGAAATTGTATATTGTCTCAAGTTTGACATCTAAAGTTTGCATAAGAGTCACCCAATTATCATTTTACTCAGCACATTCAAAAACACTTTTTCTGTCATTTGATGAAGATAAAATGTAATATTTTATTTCAACTTGTTTGGTTGTATGACAAGTTGGATCTGGTTTTTCCAGAAATGGATGTAAACTAATTTGGTGAAATAAATGTTGACACAGATTTAACTTAATAATAGACTTTCAGGGTCATAATTTATTGGCGTATAACACAATGATCTTTCAATTCTATTAATGTTATTGGTGCATACAAATTCGATAGTATTAACTTAAATTCATGTCTAAGTGGCCTTTTTATAGCAACCTGTAAGCTTACATAGTGCATTAACAATTACAATTTATGTGTTCTCAATTATATATTAAGATTTATTAGTTACATGTTGTGTTTCTCAATTAAATGCTAGGATTTCTAAGTTATATGTTGTGTTTCTTAATTACATATTACAATTTCTAAATTACATATTCCGAATTCTAAATTACATATTACAAATTCTAAATTACATATTACTAATTCTAAATTACATATTACAAAATCTAAATTACATATTACGAATTCTAAATCACATATTATGAATTCTAAGTTACATATTACGAAATTACTAAATTAAAACTTTCATGTTCTTAGTTGCATTTTAAAAAGGTAATATTTATTTCTATGCTTGCTTTTTACTTTTTGTTAACCATTTGTAAAAATTTAGTAATATTTGAGATAATGGAAAAATCAAGCAAAAATACCTTTCTTAAAAAATAAAATGTCAGAAAAACTATGAACTTTTTTTTTTTTTTAATTGACCTGTACTGAAAATTTTTAGTCTTTTTTGTTACCACACAGTGTGTTAACTACTTTTTGGTACCACACAGTGTGTTAACTACTTTTTGGTACCACACAGTGTGTTAACTACTTTTTGGTACCACACAGTGTATTAACTACTTTTTGATACCACCCAGTAACTACCTTTTGATACTTCGCATGCTTCAGTTTCTGATGAGGAAACTGTTTATCTTTTAATGTAGATTGTCAATATTATGACAATAATAAATTTTGTTCTCATAACTTTGACATCATAAACTCTATTTCTTTTTTTCATTTAAACATATTCTCTTTACAAAAGCACTTTGAAGAAATAATATTATCATTATATAGTTTTAAAATTAGCGTAATTGGAATTATAGAAACAAGGTTTAAAAAAATGGTGCACACACCAACCGAATCTTCTTGTGGCGGAACCTAGATTATACTCATGAGTTCCTTTAACTGTTTAAATAAATTTCAGTTTAAATTCTGATCAAAACACTCTACTTGTCATGCTTTAATAAGTATAACTGTAAAATTAAAAAAGGCACTGGGTACTGGTCATTTTGTAGGTGGTATTTTGTAGGTGGTGTTTTTATTGACAAAAACCTTTCAATACCATTAATCATTTTAATTTCTAAACTTGAACATTACGGAATCTGAGGAGTTGCTTGTAATTGGTTTCAATCTTATCTCTTAAACTGGAAGCAGTTTGTTAGCATTATCAATCAAATAACAAACACATAGTTTGTGGCATTCCCCAGGGTTCTGTTCTTGGCCCTCTATTGTTTTTGATTTATGTTAATGATCTAAATAACTCTGACCACTTCTTATCAGTCCATTAGTTTGCTGATGGTACTAACATCTTGCATATTGACAAGTTTTATCATTCCTTGTGTAAGAATATAAACTTAGGTCAAAATGGTTTAGTTCATTGGCTAAATGCAAACTTAATTTCTCTGAACTTGGAAAAAACTGAACTAATATTTTTTTCATCTTCAAGACAAAAACTTTCATGTAAGTAAAATTAAAATTAATAATAGACATTTATATCCAACACACGTTTTTAAATATCTTGGTATTTTTATAGATTTGAACCTCTTATGGAATTCTCATATAGATGCACTCTGTAAAAAACTTAATCAAGCTAATGGCATGCTTTCAATGATTTGCTATTATGTTGATAAAACTACCCTTAAGATTAAATATCTTGTTTTGTTGTTTATTGAACCACTATATATATAAAGATATCTTTAGATATTTAAGTATCACCAAACAAAAAAATGTTTATATTATGTAAATAGCATAGCCCTCAGAAAATCTCTAATTGGATGAAATGACATAATGCTTTGCAACAAGGCCTGCAGTTTGCAAAAAAAAACAACATCTTTTGCAAAAAAATTTAAAAAAAGTTTTAATATAATTATTGTGCTGATATTATTTTAATGTTATGCCCACTCATTATTTTAATGTTATGCCCATTTTTTAATTATTTTGATATTATGCCCACTTTTTAATTATTTTAATGTTATGCCTACTTTTTAGTTATTTTAATGTTATGCCCACTTTTTAATTATTAAAAGTACAATAAATATAAAAGCAAATTTTTTTCAAAAAGCTATTAAACTATAGAATTGTTTACATTAACAATGTTCTAAATTATTTTTATGTATTCTTTTTTTTACATCCACGATAATTTAAATATTTTTATGCAATCTTTTCTTTGTTTTTATGTATTCTTTTTTTTACATCCACGATATTTTAAATATTTTTATGCTTTGTTTTTATGTAGGCTTTTCTTTACATTCACAATGTTCTTAACCAGACTAGAGAATATAGAAGAATCAATGCAAGAGACATGTGTGTAAAGAAAGGTATTTTTTATTTTATTTTAGTCTTATAAAAAAGATGATATATGAAGGATAAACCAAGTACTGTCAAAGATATCTACTTAAAGGTTGCAAGGATCTAATGCTAGCAAATGTGATTGGTGAATCTACTGTTGCCCTAAGGATGGAGTTTCACTTACATTAGCCCACTACTTAATTCTAATACAAACTGTCACATATTTTTTTGCTTTCTTTCTGTCCTTATTAAAAGCAACAAACACTTATGTGGCTCTTTTCTCCTTAAAATCTTTTTGTTTTTGGATTCTTCATCTTCATTCTTCATTTAGATTTTTGTGTGCTAACTAAACCTCTGTATCTATAAGCATAGACAACCCATTATGATCTACTACATGTAAGCAATTACATTCAAACAAATATTTAAAACACATTTAAAGTAATTTTCAAAAAAAAAAAACTTTTATACACATTTTCATTTATTAACTTCAAATTGTTTTCAAACTCAATATTTTATACAAAAATCAACAAAAAAATCTTTTTTTTCTTTTTCTGATTATACAAAATAAGAATATTTTAATAATTTTAATCTGAGCTAGTGTTTTTAAAATGTTTTTGTTAGTGATTTAGATTTCCAAATATTTTGAATCAATTAAAATATCTGTTTTAACCTGAAATGTTTTGAATCAATTAAAATATCTGTTTTAACCTGAAATATTTTGAATCAATTAAAGATATCTGTGTTAACCTGAAATATTTTCAGAAAATTTTATTTATTAGGGTTTTAGTTGGAGTATTGTAATATTAAGAAGTTAAGGATATATTGATCTAAAGTAAAAAGTCAATTATCTATTGATTTAACTATAAGGGAGAGTAGTAGGAACTCAGAACCCTTAGATGGCAATCTTCCCAGTAAAGGTGATGCCCAAACACCTTGTACTCTTACCCACAATTAAATTGGGGGAGGGTATTGCATCAGAGTTTTTCTTCTCCTAGGTAAGTTCCTCATCTGCCCTCATCTGCCCTTTAATATCACATATAAATAAAAAAATATAGAAACCATTAGTAGTTTGAAGTATGGTAACTAATTGTTTTATTCATAAAAATAATTTTTTATAGTTGTTTATATTATAGAAGAATTTACAGAAGTTTTTTTTTTTTTTTTAGTATTTTGAGTAGCCATTTATTGTTTTCTTTAAAGTTATTAACTATACAGATTTTATTTAGATACTCTACCATTTCTGCAAGTTTTAAACACAATTGTTGGGGAAGATGATTTTTTATATTTTCTGAATCAAAAGGTATGCAAAAGAAAATATTTATAACAGCGCTGGGAATAAGCAAACAAGGGTTGGCAATTAATTAAATTATTATTTTCCATAATACTCAGGTCTGTAATACCATCTTATTAAATTATCAAATAATGCACATTTTTAAAGTTAATATTAAATAATTTAAAAAAAAACTGGATGATAACTGAAAAACAAGACTAGATATAAATGCACTTTTAAGGTATAAGGTAAAACAAATAGAAAAAATGTTTAAAAAAGTTTTTTTATTTTATTTTTTATCCAGTCATTTTCAATTAGGCCATTCCTTCTGACTAGATAATTGATCAACTATATATATATATATATATATATATATATATATATATATATATATATATATATATATATATATATATATATATATATATATATATATATATATATATATATATATATATATATATATATATATATATATATATATATGTATAAATATATATGTATAAATATATGTATATATATATGTATATATATATATATATATATATATATATATATATATATATATATATATATATATATATATATATATATATATATATATATATATATATATATATATATATATATATATATATATATTAGATGATTGATCAACTATATATAGGGTTGTAGGGTTATCTGATTCTCAAAAGTATGTACTTTTTTCTTGTTTAAGTACGTAATAACTGTTTTTGCATAGTGATATGATGGCAAATCGGGCCAGAATATATATGCACCATTTGAATGATACTTATTAATGAATGGAATAAATCTCTTCTTAATGCATTTGTTTAAGTAGATTTCTTGATTATGCTACTAGGCACAAAATAAGGCTGAGAAATGTTTGAGAAAAAGCAATTTAAAAAGTAATTTTTTTTGAAACTTTAGTATTTAACTGTAGGTGGAGTAGGTTTATTATCATTAATATAAAGTATATCCCTTCTATTAACACTGGAGTGATTAAACATGTCAAATACTCATTAATGATTGGTTGACAATTTTAATATTTTTACACGACTGCACATAGTTCAAGCAACTGCTTTTTATTAGTCAGAACGTTTTGGAATTTTCATTTTTTCTCTGTTTGATTTTTATCTTTTTTATAATGTTTTTTTAATGTGTTGCTGAGTAAAGTTGAACTTTTTAGCTACCTGCTTTGAGAAACTCTGTCTTTTTGGTCAAACATATGTTTAAGCTTTTTAATGTTTGTCTTGTTCATTTATTTTTTGGCTTTTCTCCATTTCCTTGAACCCTTTGGTTACCAGATTCACTTTTAACACATTTAATTGTATTGTTGTGTATTATTCTGCTTTTGGTGTTGTTTTTTTTGTCAAATAAAATGTTTATGCATAGTAAAAAAATTTCTTTCCTCTTATATTCTGAATTATTTTAAAAAGTTAATTTAAAAATAAACAAGAATTTATAGATATAAAAGATTATCATTGTATTTCATTAGACACATTTTTAATAAAGCATGTAGTTTTTGCATAAAATTTTTCTTTAATTTTAGTTTAATTAGTTTTTGTAAACATTTTGCATGAATTTTGCATGAATTCAATTTTTTAATATTTTACAATTTGGTTTTTTCCTGCTTTTTTAGTTTCTTAATGTAAAAAGATAAAAAAATGAGATATAAAAAGCGCACTAAATGCATAATGAAAGCAAAATATGTAGTGTTTTTTTTGTTGAATATAAAGCAAAAAAAAGATTTTTAAAAATAAAATTATTATATTTTTGAATATTATTATTATGTTTTTTTCAATGTACTTTAAAAAAAAACAAAATTAAAAAAAAAATGAGAGCGCATATAATAAAAAATATAAGTTAAAAAATGCCATCAAATTTAATGAATATTTATATCAATAAAATTAATTTGTTTTTTCAAACTTATTATTTAGGATCTGGATTTAGACTGCAATTTACCAGTTGAAAAAATACTATTTATAAATGGTTTAATATCAATAATAAAAACAAAGCTTATTCCTATTGAGGTATTTATTAAATTTTTGTGTAAAGAACTTAAATAATTTTACACCATTTTGTTTTTTATAAAAGTTTATATACTATACATGTTAAAATGGAATGTTTATCAATTATGATACTACAGAAGAATAATCTAATCTATAATAATGGAATAATCTATAATAGAATTAAATAATCTATAATAGAATAATCTAGAACTAGCTGAGATCGGACACGTAAAAATACAGGTCTTTGTAAGTCTATTCCAAAACAACTTTTCTATACTTTTTCCTTATATATCCTAGCTTTCTGGATCCGTAAAATGCAGGTCTTAACCAATTTACATATCTATGCCACACCGATTATTTCTATACCTATTCCTTATTTACTAACATGTTTTTTAGTAAAATAATTTATTCTGAAAAAAACTTTAAGAGCAAAAAACTTAACATAAGCATCTTTTCCGCATACGTAGAGCTTATAAGAGACTTATAGATTTAGGTTTGTTTTTCTGCTAAATGCATTTTATTAATACCTCAGTGGTTAAGTGTGCTGTCATCAGTGTTGTTTTGGGGGGTTTAAGACCTCTTCTTAGCGTAATAAATTTTTTCAATCTTGCTTATATATTTATAGCAAAAAAGTAATAATATAGCAAAAAAGATTTCTAAAATTTAAAATAAAAGTTTTTTCATTATATATATATATATATATATATATATATATATATATATATATATATATATATATATATATATATATATATATATATATATATATATATATATATATATATATATATATATATATATATATATATATATATGCGATTATTCCATATAATGCCTGCAAACTCAACATATGCCAAAGACGTTTATATTTACAGAGTTGTATGTAACGCTATACAAATGGTCATGTCATAAAAAAAAAGTTAATTTTTTTGATAACGATTAAAAACTAAAGAATAATATTAAATGCCAATCTAAAAGTTAAGCCAAAAAGGTTTTATGCATTGACGCCAGTTTGTGGCAAAATAAACCTTGACGCGTCAAGTTTCCTTTTGCATTTATCTTAGATTTTTTTATTAATTTTAGTTATGTTGCATACAATTGCACAAAAAGGTATAAAACTGATATATCATATCATGATATATCAGTTTTATGATGTACAGATCATTTCACCGATAAGAGTTGTATTTATTACAATAGTAATAAATAAATAGGTTTTGTTTTTATTAGAATATATCTCATAAAAATATAATCCATACATCTTTAATAAAAGTTTTCCTAAAAAATTAAAATAAAAATCTTATTTCTAGTTTGTTTTTCTAGTTTTTTTTTGCCACAAAGTGACATCACATACGCAAAAAAAATTGTTGACAGCGATTTACGAAAAAGTTGCGTCTATCATTTTTAATGGTCTAAGAAGCAAAAAAAAGTTTTTTCTAGTTAAAGGCTTTTTTTTTTTTTTTTGCTTCTACCTTCTGGAGTAGCAGGATTGCTAAAACATTAAGTTTTTTCTTTAATAAGTTTCAGACAACTTTTTTTTTCAGACCATTCGCAGATTATTAGGACTAATTACCTAAGCACATAAATAACATCTCAATCATGACACATACTCAACAAATTTTTTCTCCCAGTGTTTTGTTGTTTTTAGAAATTTTAGCTTTTTTAAAATCTTTTCATTTGTTAAAGTGTATAATATTGTTACATATGTTTGTAATAATGTCTATAAAACTTCAAAAGTACTTTGTATTTTAAAATAATCACAAAAAATAAAAATAAAAAGTAGCTAGTGGAAGGACTCAAACAATGGCTTGCCTGTTCAGAAGCTCATCCACACTGGCATGTTGCCAAAACAAAAATTTTTATAACTATATAATATTTTTTTTAACAGAAATAAATTTTATAGATCAAAATTAAGGAGAGCTTGACGCAATGCAATTTTCAAGGGAAAATCTAACTTTAAAACTTGATAAATGCTTCATTATGTTTTAGCATTATTTCATTTGAAGTTTACGTATTTTAGATATTTTCATAAAATTTTGCTCACATTTGCTTACAACAAATTGTACTGTGACTCTTTCTCGCCACTACCTCGGTTGCAATATCCGCCAAGGTTTCCGTGTCAAACTACTACTACTAGCACTATTAAGTTTGGCAATAATATATAGAGATAAAATAAAATAATTTATAAAAAAATAATCTATAATAAAATAAATGAATCTATAATGGAATAATCTATCATAAAATCTAGAAGAAAAATAATCTAATAATAGTTCATATAATATCTATAGTATAATATTGCTAGTATAAAAATGGTGTTAGTATAAAATAAAATCTGGTTTAGCTTTTAAACATTATAGTCTATCTGATATCAAAATATAATTTAAAACAAAATTTTTTGAGATAAGTTAAAAAAATTTTGATTATTAAAATATTAGATTAGTTAAAACAACACACTTGCAAATTGTTAAAATAATACGTTGTTTAGATTGTTAAAATAACACATTGTTCAGATTGTTAAAATAACACAATGTGCAAACAGAAGCAATTTTAAGGAAAAGGAATGACACCCCCTCCCCCATAAAATAGCTCACTGTGCAGATTGTTAACTTAACACACTGCAGATTGTTAACATAACACACTGTTCGGATTGTTAATATTATACACTGTTCAGATTGTTAACATAATACACTGTTCAGATTGTTAACATAACACATTGTGCAGCATTAAGATAAGCATAGTAATTTTATGTTAATAATTTTCTTTTCTTTTTTTTTTCATTTTATAAATAAAAAATTATTTAGAGATAAATGCTTTTAATATATTATATATTCATAGCATTTTATATTATAATATATTTTATAATATGTTATAAAATATATTGTGAATATAAAATGTGAATATATTAATAATTTTTGTTAGCTTAACAACAATAAGTTATTGAGAGTTAACAGAAGAATGTTTATTGTGCTGATTATGACAGTAGTAAAAGTAGATTTTGTATAGAAGAACAAATGTAAACCATAAAAATAATAATTTAATCAGTAATATATAGTAATTCTTATAAATTTCAAAAGTTATGCTTTGGCAAATCAAGCCACCAACAAAATTGCAATCAATATCAATCGATTTATATTGATTGTTTCTGATTTGCTTTCCGATTTTGCTATAGTCTACCACATGTGTGTGTTTTGATTTTTGTCTCATTCTATTTCTTTTATCCAATTTTTTATCATTATTTGTTCCTTCCTTTAATTTTTATTTTATAGTTTTTTATATATTTTTTTATAATCCATTTTATTATGTTATTTTATAAATAATTTTATAAATTTGATTGTTTATTTTAGTTATATGCACTTTGGATGGTGGGAGCTAATAAAAAAAAGGTTTTTAATGTTTAATAATATTTTAATTTGAATAAGGTTGAAAAGCTCATAATAAATGTTAATATTTAATCATAATATTATCAGTGATTAAGAAATATAAACTTATAAGTTTATTTTTATTGGAAAAATTGTATTTAGTTATAAAAAAAAACTGTATTCACATAGAAATAAAAACTTAGTAAAAGCTTCTAAATAGTTTTAAAAACTTCTCCGTTTATTTTTTACTATGGTTAACTCTTGAGCATGAAAGAACAGTTGCAGTAAAAGGATGTAACTTAGTGGAATATTCGTGTGAGATTAAGTTTCAAGTCGTGTGAGATTAAGTTTCGGTTAACAGAACAAGTTTTTATAGCTCACTTAAGCAACTTTTTCTTTTTTTTATAAATGCTACCATGGGTAAGAGAAAGAGATGCAACTTTATGACCCCAAGCTTAGTAGCTTGAGTAGGTTCAGCAATGTTTACAGTGTGGTTTTAGACCTAAAAGAGAGATGGTTTTGTTAGAAGAACTCAAATACTACTCAAAATATTCCATGATGAATAAAATTCATCATGAAATATATTTGATTTAGAGAGGTAAAAAATGAAATCCAAAGTAAGAATGGCAAACACATAAAAAAAAGGTAACCTTAGCAGATAGAATTTTGCAGTTGATTGTATAAATGGTTTCCATGGGAGCTTATTATTGAGTTGTTTATTATAAATTCATTGAGTAGTAAGAGTCAGAAGACTCAGCTCAACAATTTTCACTATATTAGCATTAAACAGCTAAGTTTTGTTTGTTCTGTTTCATCCACCACTGCAAGCCCCAAGCTGTCACAGAAGGTCAGGTTTAAGATTGGATGCCTGTAAGCAATCAAAAGTAATGACTTTTTGTCAAGAATATAGTTGTGTCAGCAAATACTTTAGAGGTAAGATTAACAGGAAATCTTTAATGATGAGGATCAACTCAGGATTTTTATTTTGTTTACATCTTCATTCTCTCTGCATGTATTATTATTAACTACTCTTATTTTCTGTGAGTTTTAACATAAATTTTATCATATTATTAGCATATCACATAAATCTTATCAAATTATGCTATATTCCTGTCAAAGCCTGATATCATGCATATCCTAAACTAACTTTTTTCTGAAAACTTAATATTTTACATTTAGTCTCCAGTATCACTTTTTTTAGTATTTTTTCTTTTTTGAGTTTTGTTTCTTCAACACTTTGGCATCTTTTAATGATGTTTAACTTTTTTTTTTAATGATTTGGCATCTTTTAATGATGCTGATACATTTAAGATTTATTATTTTTAAAGTTGTTTCTTTTTTTCTTTTTAAGAATTTAAAGTACTAACTTTAAAAAAAATTAACATTAATTAATGTTGTATCAATATTAATTAATGTTGTATAAATATACATAATTGTTTTTAGCAATGAACATGTGTTTTAGACTCTTGATTGCTATGGGTTTGGTCATCCAGAACCTTTAAAAAAGATGTTATGTTATCAAAAATGCAAAGAAGTTGAACAATTTCTAAAAATAGCAGGATATTTTAATAAAAGCAAAGCTCAAGTAAAGATATTTTATTTATTAAATGAAATTAAAAATTAAAAAATGTTTGAATAAGATTTTTTTACCTCCTATTACTTTAGTTTGTTTATATTTTTAATATTCAGTAAAACCAACAAAAAAAAATAATTTAAAAACACAGGTTTTAAAAGGGTTAAAACAGGTTATAACAATACTTTTTATTGGGAAAAAAAATTTCAAATTTATTGATATTATTGATACTCGTCAAAAATATAATAAATAAAATTATTATAATTGAAATAGATTGTATTAAATAAAATTAAATAATAACTTTTTCAGTTTTTATTTTAATGCTATAGTTTTTTTTGTTTTGGCATTTTATCCGTATAGTTATATAGTGTAAAAAAATATTTGGAAACAATAACTCAAAAACTTAAAAACATCCTGTTGCAAAAACTTAAAAACATCCATTAATTATTTTTTTAACCATTTGTTTGAACTTTTGGTGTCGTATTAGCTAAATGACTACACATTATAAAATGTCACAAGTTCTCACCCCATCAAAATGTTTATATTTCTTGCTAATTTTAAACTTCTCCAAAGAAATACTAAAAGTTGACATTCAAAAACAATAATTATTTTATATAAAGATTACTAGTTTAAATTTTATGGCTTAAAAACTATCATTTTTCAACAAAAAATAAATTTTTATAGTTTTTAACAAAAAATAAAAAAGTACATATTTTCATAGTTTTTTAAATAATTTTTTTTAATTTGTATTTCCATAAATTTTTTTATTATTATTTTTTATTTTTAGAAAATTTCACTTCTTTTGAGACCCAACATGATATTTTAAAGAACTTTTTTTTTAAAAATATTAGGGACTCATCTGATGTTTAAGGGTCTTGAGCAACCCCTAAAATTTTTTTTATTCAAACATTTTTCAAATTTAGTTTTAACTTATTGCACAGAACACATTTAGAGGGTACCAGCAGACATTTTCAAAAAATGTAACTTAATGAGCCACCCTAATATATATTATACACATAATAATAAATTTCGCATCTCATGCTATAAATTCCAAATGAAACTTATGTCAAATAAAACTTATGTGTCTAGAGTGGAAAAAAAAAATCACATCTATCAATTTTGTGTGTTATTAAAATGTCTAAAATAATTGAAATTTTATGCTTATCAATATATATATATACATACACACACAGTGAGCAGTCAAATTATTAGTTACATTTGCAAAAATTATAATATTAACCATTATAAGCTCTTTTACGTATTCTTATGTGAAACTTTTATATAAATATTAGAAAACTTTTATATAAATATTTATATAAATATTAAAAAAATATTTTTCTTTAAAAAGTAAAACACAATTAAAAAACTATTACTATTTTTAAGCATTTAAGAGAAATCATAATACAAGTTTTTTAGTATTTGGTTGGGTCGCCTTTTGCATCAATTACTGCTTGTATCCTTCTTAGCATACTTTGAATACAATTCTTTACATTTGCTTTTAATTCCTGATCATTATGCCAGGCTATTATGCCATTTATTGTTTCTATGAAATTTTTTTGTTGGTTATAGTTTCGTGCCCAATTATCTGCTTTAAAAATTCCCAGGTGTTCTCTATTGGGTTTAAGTCTAAAGAATTGCCAGGCCATGGTAAGACAGTATCATTTTTTGGCTTTAAATATCTTGTAACTGGTTTAGCTTTATGGCATGGGGCAGAATCATGCATAAAGATGCATTTGGATGGATTAAGAAACCAATCATGTAATTGAGAAATCAATTTGGTAGCTAATACTTTTTTATATTTATCCTGGTTTATCATAACTTCGACTAAATAAAAAAGGCCACTGCCCTTACCACTTATAACTAACCACACCACTCTGTTATTCAATGCCTTGTAGTTCTGTTAAGAATCTTGATAGCAGCTTCTTGTATGATTTTAGTAACAGCTTTTACTTCGGTTTTTAACACAAATGTTAAGAATTGCCCATTCATCTCTTGGGGTAGTGATGCATGGTTCAACACATTTTCCACTGTTTGTATTTTGTGCAGGTATTTTTTTATCAAGTTTACCTTTAATTCTATTTACTGTCATCACAGAGACTTTAACTAAATTTGCAATTTTTCTTTAAGAGTGATTTGAATGTGTTAGCAAACCAGATATTTCTGAAACTTTTTATATATCTTTAACTTTTCTCATTTTTAAGCACCAAAGTTCAAATATTTTTGTTTAAATTACTAATTAATTTAAAAAAATGAGTCAGAATCATGAAAACAGTAAACAGTTGACAAAAATTTTATTTATTACACACAAGTTATCGGGCAAATAATAATTTTGCAACGAATATATAAAAAAGTTTTTGTATATTTTAGGTAATCAATTCTAAAAAATGCCACAATTATTTATAAATGTTACAACTTCGTAAAAAAAATATGGAAAACTATTATTGATATTAAAATTATGGAAAACAATTATTGATATTAAAATCTCAAATAATGTAAGAGTAGAAGTAAATTTATTAATTTAAAATTCAAATAAAATTATTCTAAATAAAATTATCTTAAAATATCCCTAATTTGATCACTGCGATGTCAATATCTGATCCTAAATTACAATAACCTTGGTTATTTTTTACCATAAAAATTAGTAATTATGTAAAAATGTACCAATCATGTAGTTCGATAATTTTTGTTTATTTTAAATTGGAATCGTGAGTAACAATTTTAACAATTGTTAATCACATTTCAGAAAACATATTTTGAACAAATTATTAGATCATGTTCACATGCTATAGAATTAAGTGTAAAGTTATAAATCAAACAAAACATCACAAACAGCTTACAAAACTCGAACTAAAGTTGTATATTAGTTAACAAAGCTAATTGGTGCAGGAAAAACGTTATTATAGTCAGAACCACCAACTTTAAGAGATGTTTTACGATAATGTCTTTTAGATATTTTAAGGTATCACCTTCTTGTAGATGTTTTAAGATATCGTCTCTTTTGTCGAAGGTTTAATGACACTAATTTAAAGCAAACTTCTCAAAAGTTATGGTCTTCAAAAAAAAGTCATGGTCTTCAAAAAAAAG